AAGGGGAAGAATGGATATCACTTAAGATTAGAGTTCTTTAATCTAAAAAATCATCTATCTTGAAAGTAGCCACTTGGTTCTTCATCTCAGACCACTCCCTCCCCATTGTCAGAAAATCCTGTTTCTGTTTCTGATATCTATGGAAATCACTTCTTTGACCATCCAAGATTTCTACAGAAATTTCTTCTCTGAATGTCTGACTGTAGTTTTTCTAAGGAGTACCTTTAGAAAAACCCTGACCACTTTTTCATCCTGATATAGGTATAGGGCCAGGGGATAGAGAAGATGTGTCCAGCCACTGGGGTCACTTTTATTATTTTTAGGATTTTAAAGGAAGTGGTATGTGTTACACTGCCAATTAGAAGTAGTGCTGTACGTATGTACTAGCTTCCTCACCTTTGCTCATTCTCTTATGGTCTCTCTGTGGCTTATGACATGTGGACTGATACAGCTTATGTGAACTTTTGGCAACCTGTCCCAAGTTATTTGTGTGTCTGTCTTATCCTCCCCACCTTCACCAAAAAAGTCATGTGTTTCTTAGTGACAAAAATGCTATTTTATTCAGTTTTTGTGACATGTGTTTAATAGATACCCAATAAATACTTGTTGAATCAGTATCTTTTCACTGTTTGAAACATCAGATACTATGTCATTTACTCCTCTTCTACCCATAAAGTCCTGAATCAAACATCCTTTCCCTACCTCAATTTTTAATCACATTCTTTGTTTTTTTCTGGGTTACATCTCTTCTTTAGTTATGGAGCAAAGAAATTTCATCAGTTCCCTTTTTTGGGAGACAGTGTGTTACTGTGTTGCCAGGTGCCCTCAACCATGGGATCTTCCTACTTCAGGTTCCTGAAAGCTGGGATTACAAGCCTGTGCCACCATGCCTGGCTTAATACAGGTCTTAACACACTCTGTTCTCAGTTTTTCTTTGTAAAAGTTTCCTCATTTATAAAATGAGGGTAATAATACATGTTTCATATAACTAATAAAATAACATGTAAACACTTCTAAATTACATAACTATTTCCTCTACTCTTTCTGTTCTGAATACTTGCTTCTGATGTCTCATTTCTTTTCTATGTTATTTTTTCTTTTAACCATTTTCTCTATGTATTATACCTACTGTTAAAGTTGTTAAGTCAAAATTCTTGCCTTAGTCGGATGGATATTTATTTAGGAAAACAGTGACAAATCACTTAAAATTACACTTTACACCTGAGGAGCTTTTTAGCAAAACTAATTCCTTAAAGGATTAGTTAGCAATATCTTGTTAGAATGTCATTCTAAAAGTCTTTCTGTTTTGAATGGTCTTCATATTAAAGTTATCAGTAGGTTTTATGCTGCATTAAAGTTGTGTATCTCAGTCTTAAAATTATGTACAGTATATATTATGAGCCACCCACTGATGTCTATTGTAACTTTAATGTTATGTCTGAGAGTTACTATCATTTTATCAATTTTAAAGTTGCTTTCATGAGTGAGTGAATATGGGAACATTTGGAACCATAATTCAATAGCAATTTGGTTCTTTATATAGTAGGATAAATAATAAAATTTTTTCTTACCAATACTGGTGATTGACCTAGTGCTTTCACACTGAGCTACATCCACAGCTCTTTTTATGTTTTGTTTTGAGACAGGCTCTCACTAAATTGCTAAGTTGCCCAGGCTAGGCTTGAACTTGTGATTCTTCTGCCTCAGCCCCCCAGTATGTTGGGATAACAGGTAACAAGCATGCACCACCGTACCTGGCTGGATTTTTAATATCTGTGAAAATTCTATTTCATGGAAATGATTTATAGAATGTAGAATTTTGAATATAAGCTTTTTATTATCTGGTCCCTTCACAATTTGCGGTGGAAAGAGCAGGTGACAGAAGTCTTATAAAAGGAAGTGATATTTAAGCTGACATCTGAAAGATGTATAAGATCTGTCCAAGTACAGTGTGTATAAGGTTTTTAGGAGTGGAATGTAAACTGTATTGCTGGAATTAAAGTTTTATTGATAATAAGGTACTCAAATAAGGAGAACCAAATACATCCTGGATCTAAGAACCTATTTATAGGAAGAAAAGGGCATTGAAAACAAGCCAGTAAGTGGAGTAGGTTTGGGGAATATTTTATGAAATTTTTAAAGTATCTTTTATTTTTCAAAATATATTTGTATATATTTAATGAAGCAAGTTTTATATATTTCACACAGCTCTATGTTTTTCTACAGATTAATTCTTTTCTGTTCATTCATTGCTTAGGGCATTATGCTTCAGCATTACTTACAGTAGAAATCTATTCTATTATTGAGAATCTCTTAGATGTAGACCAAATGAGGTATGTGCCATGAAAAGTGAAGGAAAAGGTGCTGGGAGAGGCTATAGGGAAGAATGCTCTCTGCGGTGGGGGATCAGGTGAGGGAAGGCTTGCTAGGATAAATGATATCTAAATTGGTACCTGAAAAGTGATTAAGATTTATTTAGATCAAGTAAGAATAAAAATGTTGAAGCAGAGCATAGAGAATATATTCCAGATAAAGAAATGTACTAATGTATTTAACTATGTGTATTAAAAACAGCTATGTGGGGCTGGGGATTTGGCCCAGTGGCGCCCATGCCTGCCTCACAAGCGCAAGGTCCTGAGTGTGATGCCGGTGCGAAAAACCCCACAAATCCCCTCCTCCCAAAAATCCAGCTATGTGAGCTGGACATGGTGACGCACACCTACAATCCCAATACGTAAGAGGCTGAGTCAGGTTGGCCTCAAGTTTGAGGCCAGCCTAGGCTATAGTGAGTTCAAGGCCAGCCTGAACTACATAGTGAGACCGTGTCTCATAAAAACAAAGTTAAATAATGCAAAAAGCCCCCAGCTATGAATAATCAGAACTATAATAAAGCCTGTCAATTATTGAATTATTATTATTGTGTGTGTTATTATTGTTGTTCAAAGCAAGTTACATGTATTAACATCTTTAGTTTTTATAACAATCACTTATAAGAGTGACCATTATTGTTCTGCTTTTATTGAATGACAATAACTATACTTTATATCTAAGTTTTAGTACTTAGTTATTATTTTAACTTGGCTTCAGTGAATTAGAAATGGCTGGTAGGCATATTTTAGTGAAATGACAAAGTTAGTATGACATTTTAGCCTGGTACTGAAAAGAATAACATATTGTAGTATCATATATATGGGAGTATGACTTACTAATAAAATGACTTATAAATTCCAGTTTACAAGAAGTAGGACAGAAAAGAAGGTCATTACTGGTAAAAAACAAAAAAACAACAAAAAAAAACCAACCAGTAAGACAAATCCAGATTGTGACACTTCCTGAAAGATAACTTGTCTGGTCTTTTCAAAACAATCAACATGAGATAAGGATGAAATGATAAGGACAGAGAGAGTTTATATTAAACTACATTGAAAGAGGCGTAACAACCAAATGTAATACATTTGAATGGGCTCTCAATTTTTAAAAAACTAAAAAGGATACTCTGAAGACAACTGAAAAATTTTGTATATGAACTAAATACTAGACAATATTATGAAATAGTATCATTAATTTTCTAGGTGTGTATATTGGTTAGGGTTACCCAGAGGAACACAATCAATAGGAAAAGATATACAGTATATATACAATTATACATGGGAATTTATTAGACAAGCTTAGAGAATTAGAGGCAGGATAGTCCACAATGGCTACATGCACATTGGATATCTAGAAGACATAGTAACTGCTTAGTTTAAGAAGCTGCAGCTGCAGAACAAGAGGGCTCAATAAGATTCATTGTTAGTTCTAGACTGAAGGCTTGGAAGCTTGCTACATATTTGAAAGTCTGAAGAAACTGGAGTCTGATGTACACAGGTGATGGTAGTCACAAAAAATGGGATCCACTAAAGCAGAATGGAGCTTTTCCAATGCAGGCTGACTTCCTCTGTTTTCTCTTTCATTCCGTCTGGGCTGCAAGTGTATTGGATGGTGCCACCCCCAGTCATGGCTGGGCTTCCACCCTCACTTTGCTGGGCTACATGCCAAGCATCTCTGCAAACACCCCACCCACACACCCAAAAGTGTATGCTTCTTGAGTCAAGTTGACAATCATGATTAATGATCACAGAGTGATACTGGTATTGTGGTACATAGAGAAGGTCTTTAGCCTAAAAATATACATAATATACTTATGGGTGGAATGTTGTTTAGAAAAGTAATATAAAATATCCAAAATTTAACTTGAATAGGTTATTAATAGGATTCATAAGTAGCAAACATTTAAAAAATGCTTACATTTAATTTACCTTTTCTTTTTCTGCTATTTTCTTTCTAATGTTTATCACTATATGACTTTTGGCATTTTTTCATCTATACTCATTACCAGCCTTGGCTAGAATGTCAGTTCTATGAGGAATGAGATTGTCTGTTATTCACTGCTTGTGTTAGTTATCTATCATTATAACAAAATACCTTGGGTAAGTAACATATACAGAAAAGGTTTATTCTGGCTCACAGTTTTAGAAGGTTTTAAGTAGAGCTAATCCTGTTAGACCTGTGTGGTAGGGGTGCTGGATGGCAATGCTGGGGAAGTGTTTGGCAGAACAAGACTGTTTACCTCATGGCCAGAAAGCAAAAGAAGAAATAGGAAAGAGCCAGGTCCCACAATCCCCTTGGGGACATGCCTCCATTGAAGGACCTTCCACTAGCCACATCTCTCAGAGGTTATACCCCCTCCCAGTAACACCACCCTGGTGCCAAATCTTTAATGCATGAGCCATTGGGGATATTCAGTATCCAAACTATAGCACTACTTAATTCACGGCACTAAGCATAGTACTGTCTGGTACCCAGTGGGCAAAAATCAATATTTGTTCAATGAACTAATAAATAAGGATAATCAATCTCAACCAGCCTTGCCATTTCTATGTAACTCATAATAATTTAAATTTTTTATTAGTTTTGGTATTATTGACAAAGACAATAACAGGTTGTTCCTTATGTTTCAGGGAAGTTGGGAAAAAAGAATTTTGAAGAGTCTAAATAGTATGTGCACTGAACTGAGTATCCCATTGGCACGAAAGGTACTTTTAATATTTTTCTGCTTAGCTATTGTATTGTGAATTTAACTACTGAAAAGTGTCATGCAGTTATATAGCTGTCAGGCACACTATTCCTTTTTTATTATTATATCAGCTTGTTTTAAAATAAAATCTGTAAATGCTAATTGTGTGGCTATATTCTATATAGATTTCCATTTTGTATACTTTAAAGATCTGTAATAAAGTTTTTGGAGAACAAAAATACCGACTCTACATATAGATTATTTAAACATTTGACTGTAAAGATGAGTACACTTTAAAGATTTTAATTACTTTTAGTCCCCCCTTACATTTTAGCTAATTGAGCACAGTAGCCATAATCCTTAAGTTGGAGATGGAGTTCAGGCATACAGTGAGCTTGTCATATGCGATATGGTACCATCCTTTGGTACTGATACAGGGAATGAGAAGAATAATTTGTCATCTGTCTGCCCAAGTGGAATTCTATTAAGGTGCAATACTCAACACTTAACTTTCACTCTGGGCTTTATGGGGGAGAGATGAGAAAGGAAAGGAAAGTCATTTAGAGGATGTTCTAGATGCCACATAGCTGCTTAAAAGTAGGTGAGAACCAGGTCCCTTCACTTAATTCTCCCTACCTGTTGTTTACTCCCTGCTGAACAGATGTAGTACATATACTTTTGGTAATGTCCAAGGTTAAGTCACTGGAGGCACCATAAAGGATGGTGTAAAAAAAAAGAATTTATATGAAAAACTGTGTAAATATGTAGTATTGTATAATATACTGTCTTTCATATAGGAAGATGATGCTACTGACTCAGTCACTCTCTGTTGGCCAGCCCCCCTTGCGATGCATTTCTGAGATTGCTAGATGGGGTAAGAGGTGGAGTATGTGGCTGAGGAGCAGTTTTTCTTCGTGAAATTGACTGGCCAGTCCAGATCATTTGCCTTCTTTTCTTGGACTCAGTACCACCATAGTCTAACTGAGCCATTGAGACTAGATACAATGTAGTAATTAAATAATTAATTTAAGTGTAATTCCAAAAAGTTTGCTATATTTAATGAAATTATTTTCCCCAATGTTACGGCAGCTTATTTAAACTTTTAAATAAGTTATTGATTGACTCTTGTCTTTAAGATACATTGCTAATCTTCAAAAATGAAACCAATTTTAAAATTACCTTTTTTAGAGGCCAGTTGGACAACAGAAGGAACTTCTTAATAAGTGGAATGAAATGGGAACTGATGAACCAGGTATACAAAGAACTTTCTTCACAATGTAGTAGTGAGAAAAGAATTACCTTCTTAACTATGGATCCAAAGTAACATAATGAGCAATTCTTTTGGAAAGACAGCAATTTTCTCTCCAAATTTATTCCCTGTCATCTGTTTTGTTTGCTTATACTTCTACTTTGCAGTTTAAGAGTTCCTTTCATCTTTTTTTGCCACTATTTTGAGAATATTTAAATCATTTAACCTTTTTGTAAAGCAGCATTTAAAAACATTTTTATTAAAAAGTAAGTAAAATTTATTTAGTAGATTCCTGAGACTCTTATCTTTTAATTAAGGTAAACATTTTGTAAGCTTAATTACATTGAGATGTTAAAGATGGGTTAAAAAATGAAAAATAAATTTCAAGGCATTAAAATGTTTTAAGAATTTTTTAGTTCAATTAAAAACTTAAAATCTAGTCAACATTAAAAACTGGATTTTATTTACCAAGTAGATGGTTATAATTTTATAGACAGACATGTACATACCTTCACCACTACTGAAAAAATAATTTGGAGGACTTGGCAAAAAATAAATGCCATAATAGAGGAGCAGTGTCCAGTTGGAATTCAAAAGGAGAGCAGTTTAACACAACTAGAGGACTTCACTAAGAATTCACTGTTTGTATTCTGAGTACTTTAAGAATTTTCACATGGAAGCTTTATATACATTGACATTATTTTGTTAACTCAGTTATGAATAATTGATCATAATTTATAAACAGTGGACTCTTATTTTCTTTTATAATATATAATCTAGGCTGTTACAGAGTGTCTTTATTTTTGTGTTCTTAATATTTAAAATTGACAAATGTTTCAACTAGTCTATTTGCACTGAAACATAGGAAAGAAGCTTCATTTATTAACTGTTATTTTAAAAATCTATCTTATTATAGATTTAAGCCTTTTCAGACCTGTTTATGCACCTAAGGATTTTCTTGAGGTAGGTTCATTTTGATAAATATACATCTACTAATGAAGAAAGAAAGTGAAACAAATAATGATGTAAGACTATCTCCAGGCAGAGAAATCATCATGTAAAAAGCCTCAGATCCCCTGAAGCAGACTAACATCAAATTTTTGTTTAGAAATTGCTCTTATAAAGTATATTGGAAAATGGAAACATTAGAGGCACACAAATCAATTTGGAAGATTTTTTAAATCTAAAAGCATAGTGAGTATAAATTGCGTAGCTTGCTGCTTGGCATATATAGGTGCTCAGTAAATTTTTTTATTCTGTTCCGCATTCTAGGCAAGACATGATGAGGTTCTTGAAGAGGTCCACTAGTAATATTGGTCCATTAGTACTGATGAGTGAGCGTAGTCAAGTTTGTGAGATATAGCAAACATTTGAGTGGAATTCTTGGGCATTGGAACTCATTTTAATTCACCATCCTTGATTTCATTCTTTCTCTTGGACCTTCCATGTAATCCTGCCAGTTTTACCTTTTAAAATGGTACCCAGAATCTGTCTATTCCTTTCATCACCCTACTGCTACATCCAAGCTACCGTGTTCTCTTGTTTGGACTATGTACCACTCTTCTCACTGGCCTTCCTACTTCTACCGTTTTTCACCTAGATTCTATTCTTAGTACAACTTCCAGAAGGAGCCCTTAAATTTAATTCAATACCATCCACTCCTCTGTTACCCAGTGATTTCTTTCTCATTCTTAAAAGCCAAAGACATGACAGTGTTTCAAAATATCTATTTGATCTGAGACTCCAGATCAAACACCTCCCTGAGTTCATTTGTATTACTTTTTCTCTTGATTTGTTCTACTTCGGCTATGTTAGTGTCCTTGCTTTTAGTCATATCTTAAACCACTCTATCACTAACAAGTAGAACAGTGCTTAGCACATACTCAGTAAATCAATTAATATTTATTGGGTGAATGAGTAACAGTGAGTAAGTGTCCCACATTCACATTCATTCTTTCTCTTGTGCTAGGGATTAAACTCAAGGATACCAAACTACATGCCCACTTCTTTTTATTTTGAGCATTGCTTCTTGGCCTTTTGCCTAAGATCAAGTGTATTTTGATGTAGGGCCTTACTGAGTAGCCCAGGCTGGGCTCTAACTTTGAATTCTCCTGCCTCAGACTCTATCTCTTTTCTGAATCTGTTTTCTCTGATAGCAGTTTTATTGGCATAAATCTTTCTTTAGAAATTATTTCAGGCCTTTTAGAGTTGTAAAATAGTTTAATTTTTTAAATTAAAACATTTGAAGAGAAATTAGTTTGGTAAGAAGTTACTTTTATGGTAATGGTTTTATTTACCTTAACTTACTAAAAATTTCTTACAAACTCATTTCCTCTCTAGCACTAATGGGCTGAAATTTCATCTAATTTTTACATGGTGATCATGTTTTCTCTTTTTTTTAAATAGAATTTGGGTTTTGAATATTTTTCTTTTATTTTTTTCTTCACATCTTTTTTATTAGTGTATATTGGTTATACAGTGTAATGGGTTTCATTTTGGCAGATTTGTAGGTGCACATAACATACTTTAATATTCCGCCCCCCCAGTTCCCCTCTTGCCTTGTTCTCCTGCCTAGTTTTCTCCTCAGTGGTTCCTAAAATTCTGTGTACTTGAGGACTGTTGAGACCCTTTTCTTTAATGCAGAAACATTTTCTATAATTATTTCCATAGTTATGATTTATATATAGCTAATATTTTCTCTTTGTTGTTATCTGTGTAGTCACAGTTTCTTCTCTGTTTTCTATTTTCTGTGTTTGTGAGTTTCCTGTGAAGTATGACCCTTTATTTATGTCATTAGGCTAGGTTAAGCTATTCTATATTAATATGCATTTGACCTTGTTGATTCTTTGTTAAATATCCTATTATTAAAAATAAATAGAATTGATTTTTAAATTTCAACATAATTTTTACAATTTTAGAAAAAATGTTCATACTTTTTAAGTGAAATGTCTAGATTAAAGGATATACAAATATCTGAGGTTATTTATATCCAGTTATTTTTGAAAACTTGTATCATGGTCATTTTTGTTAATTTTGTTTCTAAATTTTTTTGTCTGTCTCTCTCTCTTTCTTTCTTCTTTTGGGTTTGGTTTAGAGGTGATACCTTGCAGTATTGCTCCATCATCTTTCCTAAAACCTTGTCAGTTTCTATTTTTTAGTGTTTGAGTTGTGAAGTTTTCCCTGATTAAGTATTACAATCAAGCAATTACTTTTTCTGACTCCTTCCTTGGTGAAATATAATCAAGCAATTTTTATTTTCTTTAATTACCAAAATTTTCATTTCTAACTAAATCTTAACTTTTTAAGAGAATTTTATATGATGGTTCATCAATTAGAATATTAAAAGCAATCTTAAAAGCATATTTATATTTAGCTATTTCAATATAATATTATATTGTTTTAGAATGTAATTCAAGTATATGCATAATCCCAAATTTTAATTTTGTGGTGACATGCCAAAAATATCACTGACAAGTGTAAGCATCTGATAAAGAAACTAACCAATTTTTTTGGGTTTGTTTTTAAAGGTATTAATTAATCTTCGCAACCCAAATTATGAAAATGGTGATTCTCTTAGTTTCAGGACTCATTTGGGTTTAATCCAAGTTCCTCTCAAAGTAAAAGACATCCCTGAATTGGTAAGTACAGACATTTGAAAATAAATTAGCATATTTTAGAAGACACCCATAGAGAAATGTTCATATGACAGGTAGCTAAGGCAATAGAGTAATACTCTCATTAAACAAATTAATAAAATGAAAGTTCTGGGCCAGGGATTTAGCTCATTGGCACCACACCTGCCTCGCAAGCGCAAGGTTCTGAGTTCGATCCCTGGTACCACAAAAAAAATAAATAAAATAAAATAAAAGTTCTTATTTAATGCAAATATGTTTATGAAGAGAATGAGTTGATTTGCTTGTAGGACTAAATCTGAGCTTATATTGATTTGTAAATGCCTTTGCTTATTCTTTATTTTTATAAACAGCATAGATTTGAGACAGCTTGTTGGGAGTCAGGTGCTTGATGTATAGCTATAAATATTAAACCAATTGTGAATTTTATAAAATTATTTTAAAGAGAGCACGTTTTATTTAATTTAACCAGGCTTCATGGAGCTCTGTAACATGGTGAGACACCAGGGGAGATAGGGATGAATTAGAGACTGTCTTTGCTCTGGAGAGCATCACATTGCAGTGAGTTAGTTTTAAAATGAAACAAGAGAGAATTTCCAGATGGTGGAATTAAGATATTATCATTCTTTATTCTTTTGTTAATCACCCCAGAACAGTAAAGAGCACAAAACTGTAAGTATTGCCTGTGGGGAAACTCAGAAGTAATTTATAACATTGACCTTTAAGGTATCATGATAAATGACTTAAATAAGGGGAAGAAGGTCAAACCTAAATGTCTGTAGAAGATGGAGTGCATGAATGAGAAGTATGCTAATAATGTTTAATCTTTTAGCACCAAATCCCTTTTTTGTGCTTTGCCTTATAATAGAGGTGAACCCGATAAACATTTTCCCTTTTGCCAGACTGATATCGGGCTTTATCAATAGAAGTTTCTAAGGGACACTACACAGCTATAGCAGGAGCAAGGGCCTCCTTTTCTTGTTCCTGTGTGTAGAAATGAACAGGTAAGCATGCAGGAAGTCTAGTAACAAACCTTCCCAGCAGTTCTCAGTGGTCCTGCTCTAGCCTGGTTTATTTGGCAGATTTTTTTACCACCCTTCTGGATGTTCCCGCAACAGCCACTTCCTGTCTGTAGAGCTCTGAATCACATCTTTGAGGAGTGCAAGGACCCTTTTCTGAGTTCTTAATTCCTTCTTTTTACTGTCCTTCAGCCTAGAAATCATCATTGCTTTTGGCATTTGCTACTTTTATTTTTCCTGCTTCACATTTCTGCTTTGACATTGACAGATACAAGAAGCAAAACTATTTTCTCCATAGAACCATGAAAAGGCTCAAGAATCAGAGATATCATGTGTCACGAAAGGCCATGGTGATCCAGATGGTTGACAAAAGAGATTTTGTTAAAATATGTATCAGGGGGATGTAGATCATTAGATTAATAGTACCATGTATCATCAGATGAGTTCTCCCTCCACAAGAGAAAAGAGGTGTATTCACTAGAGATACAGAATCAGAAAGGCTTTGAACTTAGAGACCTCATACATACAGCAGGACAGGTAGGAGACACTGGAAATAGAGGAATTAAGTGAAAAAACTATGTTGAATAATGAGACTGATACTGTCATTCCTACCACCAACACTATGCCTTCCCTACCCTTCACTACTGTAGAATGACAGAGAAAAGACTAACAGAGATTTGGAGAATTCTTACAAAAAACACAGCTGACTGACTGACTGGCTCTAAAATTGCCTCATACAGAAGCCCACTACATTCTATGCCCAATCCTTGCAAATAGAGTTTTAAGTTAGTTGTTTCATTGCCTTACTGCTAAATATGAATGACCAACCTGGGACTCTCAAACATTTGAGCCTTGTGATTTGATGGGTAACTTTTTTTTTTTTTTTTGTGCTGGGGATTGTACTGAGGCCCTCACGCTTGTGAGGCAGGTGGCAGCACCACTGAGCTAAATCCCCGGCCCTAGCTCTTGTGATTTGAAAGATAGAGACCAAATCTAGTGCCAATGAATGAATGAATGGGTGAATTAATAAAACAAAAACTAGAAACCAAGAAGATAGAGCTCTTTTGAGAGTGACCATTACTAGGTGTTTCAGGTTTGAATTTATGTTCACACAGGTTATTATAGGCCATAACTTGGTATCAGGTTTACTTAAATGTGTAGAATTAGACAGAACAGAAAACAGCATGTCAGTATACCAGCACACCATTATCAGACGGATCATCACTGAGAATCCTGTTACAATCAACCAAATGCTATTTCCCAGCCCCGCAAGGAATGCACACAATTGGAACAATACAGAATAGAAACCATTTTTATAACACATGTGGGCATAGCTTCCAAGTCATCTCAAGAAATGCTATACAAGGCAGCCATAGTCTGTGTGTACAAATATTTTTTAAAATTTTTATTTCTTTGCAGAGCTGGGGATCAAACCCAGAGCCTTGTGCATGTTGGGAAAGCACCCTACCATTGAGTTATACCTCTAATCCCCAGATTTTTATGGTCCATTCACAGTCTTCTATTTCAGATATAGTTTACTAGACAAGTGATGTATATTTTAGTGAGTATATTGCTTAGTAATATAGCTTGGATTTCTCTTAGCTTTTTTGCAATCAGATATATCTCTAGGGCAGTGGTGCTAGATGAAAGTTAACTCAAGGTCATCTTCACATAGCTGTGTTAACCATTTCTTCCCTCAAAGAAGACTTTAAAGAAACTGTTAATATTCTCAAAGAGATAAAATATTAATCATGAAATAAGAACAGAATTTCATTAAAACAAGCAAAACATTAAAGAATGAAAAAGAGTTCTTTGGATCAGTAATAAGGTATATAAAACAAAATCAACATAAAGATTGAAAACCAAGCTGAGGAAATATATGAACTGTAAGACATAGATCTCCACTCTAAAAAGGCCTGCTAAGTATACAATAATGTGGATAAAAGAAGATCCACACCATGGCGGTTGAAAAAGAGAAGACTGAAAACTTTTTATAGAAGAAAGGTGATTTATACAGTGTTGGGAATCAGCATGCCATCTGACTCAGCAGCAAAATTGGAACCCAGAAGATTTTGGAGTAATGCCTTTAAAAATCTGAATGACTTCAAATGTAGAATTCTATATGTAGCCAACAGTCAATGAAAGGTAATAATATAGTGGACACTTTTAGATGTATGTGATCTAAAGTATTTTCTTTTATGTTGGGAGTTCTTATTAGAAATGCTTCTAATAAAGTAAAAAACAAACAAAACATACAGGACCCAGGAAACAGAATTCTGACCAACGAGAAGGAAAATTTCTAGACTTGATGCTAAAGAGAAGCAGTTACAGGACAAAGACTGCAACAGGAGCACAGTGATCTCAGATTGGAGCAGGAGGTTCTGGAACAGATGCCTGCAGGGAAACCACCAAAAGCATAGATGATCTCACAGGCTTGATCACTTGTGAAATTATATTGGAGAGGATCTTCTCAGAGTAGTTAAAGCATATAGGAGGAGGGAAGTAATTAGAAAAAACTGTAAAAGTGACAAAATGGTTCTAAATATAAACAATATGGTAAGAAAGTATAAAAAGGAAAGCATATTTATAAATACAACATGGCTCACCAGTGAGTAATGCTTGCATAGTTCTAACAATGCAAACTCTTAATCTGGATGTAAGCAAGAATTGATACATAATTATACTGGGATGATAGAGGGAAGGAAAGAGAATGTACATGAGGTAAAATCCTGATTTACCAAATACAACCAATAGGTACTTGGAACTGGTGGATTAAAAATAGCATGCCAGAAAAAAAGATGGCACAGACTCTTCCTAGGTGGTGGGACAATTATGATTATGTGTGCATGGGTATATATATTAGGAGTAGCATATAAGATAGGAACTGGTATTTTGTTGTTGTTGTTTAAAATCTTATAGCTGATGTAATTTCTTAAACTATTTGCTGCATGGAGGAAGTTTCATATAATGGTTAGATGATGAAACTCTGAAGCCAGACAACTTGACTCTAAATTCTTGGCTCTACCCCTTTCTGTCTTTGTGACCTTGGACAAGCTATTTGTCTTCCTGGAGCCTTAGTTTCCTTATCTGTAAAATAGGGATAATAATACTATCTTACAGAAGTATCAGGCAGATCATATAAGATGTATGGTTTGGGTTGAATCGTACCTCCCCAAATCACATGTTCAAGTCCTAAATCCAGGACCTGTGAATGTGACCTTATTTGGAATTAATATTTTTGAAAGTATAGTTAAATTGAAAGGGTCTCACTGGAGTAGAGAGAGGCCTAAGTCTTATATAACTTGGATCCTTACAAGAGGAGGAAAAGAGACACAGAGGAGAGGTACACAGGAAGAATGCCATATGACAATGGAGACAGCGACTGGAGTGATAATCATCAAGCCAAGGTATACCAAAATTTGCTAGCAGCAACAGATGCTGGAAGAAAGATGGGGAACAGATTCTCCCCTAGCACCTTCATAAGGAAGAGCATGACCTAAAACCTTGATTTGGGACTTCTTGCCTTCAGAACTATAAGAATAAATTTCCATTGTTTAAAGTCCCCATATGGCGTATTTATGGTACTTGATAGTTGGAGCTATAACTTTGATAAAAATTAATTTTTAAAGATATCTTAAAAATGTGTTTCAAGTCCTATAAGTAGAGGTTGGTACAAAGTCCTGTGGTTGTACAGATGAGGAAGTAGCTTTTTCCCCTGGAAGTGGTAAGAAGCCTTCTGAGAAGTCCTTCTATTTAAATTAGGTCTTGCAGGAGTATACTAGGTAAAGAAGCAGAGAAAGAATAATTTTGTTAAAGGTGCATGTACCTGAGTGGGACTAATATAAAGGGTACTTAAGTTGATGTGGATGCATTCTTAGTTATTGCAAAACCAAAAGCCTATATGGCTAATTTTCAAGAAATTATGGCTGTATACACTAAGAGTCCTACTTCTTTTCTTCTTCATTTATGAGGGAAAGTTGTCCCTACCTCACCTGTACCATGTTGCTTGGTGATGTGATGATTCTGACTCCAAAAGTCATGGTTTATCTGTGACTCTGGTCTGTCTGTATGAGCACTGAACTTGGATATTTGCAGTATTTAGTTTATTTAGTTGATTCAACTTAGTGGGGCCCAGTGAATCCTGTGATTCAATAATGGAAATCTCTTTAACCTAGTCATGATGTTAGGGAGCTCAACCATATTTATTATGAAATTTCTTAAAACTGAGACTTATTAACTCTACAGTAAAATTTTGACTAATTCGGTCATTTGGAGCCAGTAGGTTGGCACTAGAACTGTGCAGTATGGTTCGGTATTTACTGAACCCCTTTGCTAAGTAAGGCACTATGATAAGTACTGGGGCTTGCAAATATATAAGAAACAGTCCTTATCTTCCAATATATGCAGGATAATGGGGAGATGAACAGCAGAAGGACAATTTCAATATAATGTGATTATGTATGTTAACTGAAGTTGATAGGGGTTAATGTACACACGTTGAGAGTTGCTCTGTCTGCCTAGAATATAAAGGAAGGCTTCCCAGGAGATGCAATGTCTAGAAGGTGAGTTTTGAGGGAAGTCTGAGACTAAGGCACATGTCTGCTGATGTTGTATAAAAAACAGCTCAGAGCAGTGCGTTAGAAGATAGATGTTCAGTGTTCTGTGTCTACTTCTCAACATGCTTTAGCATAAGTAAAACTCTCTATTTTGATTACAGAACTTAATATTGAAATGTTTATTGGCACTGAATCTTTTCTGTGGTATGAAGATCAATGTTATTTTTAAAATGAAATAATCATTAAAAATCTAATGACTTAAATGAAACTAGAATGTCACAAAATAAATGAAAGACAGTGGCTAAAATGGAAAAATCACACTAAATTGTATGTATGTGTGTGTTAGACTGAATAACTGTGAGGGACATTATAAATCATTAACTTAAATAATGATAGATATTTAGGAAATAATAAAATTAATTCCATTTTTAAAGGGGAAGGAAGGATGGTTTTAACAATTAGAATAGTAACAAAACACTGATGTTAGTATTAATAGAAATATTTAATTACTTAGGGAATACAAATAATATGACTAACATGGAGTTTTTAATAAGTTTAAAAAAATACCAGACAAACATGTTACTTTCTCTCTAGACATTACTAGATAAGTAGAGGAAGTCTGGAGAATATATCTAATTTACCCTTTATTTTAGCAAACCACTTGATAGTCCAGTTTCACTTAAGAATACATTTAAGTTGTTTAGGAGTATTTAGTTGATTAACCACTGAGTGAAGTACTGTAAAATAGAAAGCACAGATAAAGGTTTATATTGGTAATCTTAGACAACAATTTTAGAAGATAAAATTGATAAATGGTGCCTATTCCTGGAGTTTGTGTGTGTATGTGTGTGTGTGTGTGTTCCTGTTTGTGTATGTTTGTGTGTTTCAGGAAAGGCTTGAATGTTACTGGTTTTTTTACTCTCACCTAAAAATGCAAAATCAAGAACAATTTTTGAAAAACAGATTTAAAAATATCAATATTCAAGTTGATCAAAAGTCATCAAAATAAAAACTTTTTAGGTAGGGAAATAAAGAGAAATAAAAAATCGCTAAATGCTCTACATATGAAGAAATTTATTTTTCTTTTCCCGTTATGCTATTTTTTTCTAAATGCTTTTATCTTTTCTATTCATATTTATTTCACATGAAAAAATGTTATGTAATAATACTTGTAATAGATAGAAATATAGTTGTTCTCCTTAATTTTGGACTAATGCACTACTATTTTTTTTTTTTTTTTTTTTTTTTTTAGTACTGGGGATCGAACTTGGGACCTTGCACTTGTCAGGCATGTGGTAGAACCACTGATCTAAATCCCCGGCCCTGCACTACTATTTTGATGTCTACTAATATCCTTTTCTTTTTTAGATATTTGAATGAAACAAAGATTCATTTTAGATTGTGATTTTTAATTAAGTTGATATTTAGGTGAAGATGACCTTTCAATGTGCATCAAAGCCTGAGACGTGTGTTAATTCCACATATGTTATTTTTCAGAAAGAATGCTTTGTGGAGCTTGGCTTAAATATAGGACAGCTGGGTATAGATGATTCTACACAAGTGCCTCCTGGTTAGTATCTCCCATATGGCATATAATTAATAAATGATAAATGAAAGTGAGTGTAAGGTTTACCTTGCTATTTCTAAATTAATGTAGTAAATTTTATATATGAAAATAGAGCATGCTTTTGTTTCTGCTTGCTTATTGTTTATTATTGAATAGGATCCTATATGTTTTAATTATAATTTGACTAAATTTTGTCTTTTTATTTGAAGGTCTTTAAAAAAATTTCAGAAAGCATATATATGTTGTTTTGTTGGCAGACTCTCTATTTTCAGCATTCATATTTCCCTTCCTGGCCATCATTATCTATTTTCATTTTCCTATCACTAAGCTAAATGAACACTGGCATCTCCCTAAAGTAGACTTAGGCTTTTAAAGTAGTGTCTTTTATATCTTAATCATCCAGGCAATTTTTCTAGCTTTTCTTTTTTTGTGCATAAATACAGCATATTTTTCATAAAAGACCTGAGTGGTATTTAACTGTAATAAAAAGGAAGTAAAAATTTACTTAAAGTATGGGAGACCAGTATTGAACTGGAAATAATACTAGATGAGTTAGGGTACTTACTGTTCTAGTCTTTTCTGTCATGGATGGTTATGTGAGGTGAACAAGCTGCACACATCTTTGGACTTTGTTTTAGTTACTTTCTCATTGCTGAGATAAAATACCTGACACCCAAAGTTAGAGAAGGAAAGGTTGGTTTCAGCTCATAGTTTGTAGAGGTTTCAGTCCTTAGTCGGCTGGCTCCAGGGCAGGGTGTCATGGCAGAGGTGCATCACAGGGGAGAAACAGTCCACAGCATGTCAGGCAGAAGGCAGCAAGCAACAAGCAGCCAGCTAGCAGCCAGCTTGTCCTTCCCTTTTATATAATCTAGGCTACCAGCCTTTTGGGTAGGAGAGCTATACTAATTCCAATCAGTGAACTAATTCAGTACCATGCACCCTTAATCCCAGTGTCACATACCCTAGGTTCAACCAGCTCCAAAAAGCCCCAACTATGAGCACATGAGCCTTTGGGTGAACATCTAGAAACAAGCCATAGTAGACTTGTATTTTCTTCTTTAAAATAAGGAAGTCTGAGGCCAGGGATTTAGCTCAGTGGTTCTGCTGCCTGCCTTGCAACTTAAGGTCCTGAGTTCGATCCTCAGTACCAAAAAGATAAAATAAAATAAAATAAGGAAGTTTGCTATTTGTTATTACTATTATAAAATTAGTACTATATAATAATTGCTATTACTATATAATGATAAATAATAATAAATAGTTATTTAGCAATATTATGTTATATGTATCTCTTAGCAATTCTTAAAATATATATTATTCTCCCAAATGCAAGGTTCGGAGTTCAATCCCCAGTACTGAAAAAAAAGATATATACTATTACTATTTTTAAAACTTTCATTAGTGTATAATTCATATAGAAAAATACAAATACAGAGTATGATTGAAAACTTCAGTGAATGTTTAAATTTTTACAAAATGATTGCAGTAAGAGACATATTGTCATTAACCCCCTCAAAATACTCCTCCACTCTAAAAACACACTTATCCCATCATTCTTGCCAATTTCTGAAGTAATTCTAGAAGCCCTCTTACTTGAGTTTCTTTAGTTGTACTGTCATGGCTGCCTCATTGTCCTGAATTAGTTCAAAGCATTTACCTTTCATGGTCATTTTGGCTTTGAGAAAGAGCCACAAGTTGCATGGTACCATATCCCACAAATAAGGTGGCTGTGGACACACCGTAATCTTTTTATGAGCTTTCCTTGCCTCTGTACAGCACTTGGCAGCATTCTCTGTATTTTCTTTAATCACACCTCATAAAGCCACTCACAAAAGTGGACTTCCAGAGCTGATTCAGAAAGTGACAAGAAAATGCAGAGGGAGGATTTTGAGGGGGATTAATAGCAATGTGGTTTTTACATTCTTAAAAATTAAACATTGATAGTATATTTTGATCATACCTTGTATGTCATAAAAGGAGAAAGCTCCATGAATTTTTATAAATTGAATATATCTATTGAAATATTACCCAGAACAATAAACAGAAGCTCCCTTTCTAATCTCCTTCAGTCTTCATCCTTCATTTCAAAGACAACCGCTGTTTTGATTTTCACCGACATAGATTAGTTTAGCCAATACTTGAATCTCATTTGGATAGAAGCACACAATGTGTCTGTTTGATGTTTGACTTTTTAAGAGATTCTGCCATATTGTTGTATTTGCAGATCATTTTCTTGCTTCACAGTGTTCCACTGTACATGCACACTACACATTTATGCATTCTATTGCTGATGAGTACTTGGAAAGTTTCAAGTTTGAGGCTATTACAAAGAAACCTGCCATGAGCAAGTGAGCATGTGTCTTTTGGTAAACATATATATACTCTTCGGATGAATATGGACCTGGTAATGCAATTTCTAGGTTAGTTATGTATATGTTCAGCATTGGTAGATAACTGCTAAAGCATTTTCAAAAGTGGTAACACCAGTTTATACTCCCACCAACAATGCATGAGACTCACAGTTGCTGTACATCCTCTTTAATGCTCAGTGCCTCCCTTCTCTGATTTAATCATTCTGGTGGTATATAATGGTATTTCATTATGGTTTTAATTTTCTTATATGATGTGATGTAGGAGTATTGCCACCTTTTAAAAGTTGAAGTAGAGGTTAAATACAGCATCTTGTTCAAGGTCACAAAATAGTAAGTGGTGGGACCAGGATTCAAAAATAAGCAACCTGTCTGCAAAGGATGCTATACTCTACTGCCACCTTTGTTATTCTTTTCTTATGTTATAAGAAGAAATTTCTTTACATAATATCTTATAGGCATGACCAATATAGCCATGTATAAAATGGAAAGGAAATAGTAACACAATGTTCAATTATATTTATATTTTTACTTTTGAGATAATCTTTAAGAATTATGTAAAATTATTCTAAATTTTCCAGTAGACATGCTCTAAAAAAAACCCTTAATATATTTCTTAACCTAAAGCATAGGTTTCCTTTCTGTTTGATTCACTCATACACAACAAATATGTATTGAGACCTTGCTGAGGAAAAAGGGACTGGTGAATAAATGGATAGGAGACAGTCTCTGTTTTTAGGGAAGATATAGTGGTAAGTAGCATAGAAGATTCAATGTAATATTTGCTATGACTGTGTATAAGGAGCAGTTGGAGCAGAGGAAAGAGCACCAAAACTTGGTTGGAAGAGGTTGATCATTTCTCATTTGATGCACTTATTTTTGCTTTACTTCTCAAAGCAAGACTGTTAAAAGCGTAACACATATTTTGTCATAAAGTCACAGAAACATGGGTGTTTACTCTTTAGAATACTTTTACCTGTGTTTACCCATGTTTACTCTTTAGAATATTTCTGTTGACATTAATTTTAATTTTATGAGTTTTATTATATTAAGCAATGATTACTTAACTGGAAGAAAATATCACAGGAATAAAGTATTGCATTTTTAATATTGATTGAGCATTTATTAAAAAAGCATCAAAAATTTCAACATTGACTTTTTAGGTGTACAAAGTCTAAAAAATAAAAGAAATAAATTCCTATATGAACTACAATGAAAATACAAACAGCACTTTACAAAAGAAAATAACTTTTACCTCAGTTATCACATCTAAGGCAGTCTTCACACATGACAACAGCACATTCCGTACACACATATCACTTACACTGACAGCATACATGTTTTGTTTTCCTGGCCTTTTTGTAGGACATACTTGACATCTCATTGCTCTTTTGCTGTTTTGTCAGGGAGTTCTTATTATACAATATGTAGTTAACAGTCACATGAAACATCAATAAAATAAAGTATTAAATTATTAATATGTATTGCATGTTTAGAATAAACAACATTTTCCCATCAGCTGTTTACTTGCTTACAAAACCTAAAAGATAACATCAGAAATAAATTCCTATATGAACTACAATGAAAATACCAATAGCACTCTACAAAGAAATGATCTTTACTTCAATTATCATGCCTAAACAATAAGAAGATCAGATATCAATAAAATATCAAATGTGTAATGAGTGCTTAGAATAGACATCAACATTTTCATATCAGCTGTGTACTTGCTTACAAAACTTAAAGATAACATCAGAGATAAAAACTTATGTGAACTACAATGAAAATACCAACAGAACTCTACAACAAAAATGTTTGCTTCAATTGTCACACCCAAGGCAGTCTTCACACATGACAGCTGTAGGTTCCATGCACACATTTCACTTACACTGACAGCACATCCTTAGCTTTCCTTTCTTATATGGCACACTGTTCTTGTCATCTCTCTTTCTGTTTTTTCAGGAGCTTCCTACTATGTTGTACAATGTGTACTTAGGGAAATCAGATATAATAAAATAAAATATAAAATATGTAATGAGTGCTTACAATAGACATTAATATTTTCACATCAGCTGTGTACTTGCTTACAAAACCTAAAAGACAGCATCAGAAATAAAAGCCTTTGTAAATAGGGAAGGGTGGAGGGTGTGAAGGGAGGGCTAGAAATGGGGAAAAAATAAGAACCAAGATGCATTATGTAAAGGTACAATTCCCAATGAGAAATGTAATTGTGTTGTATACCTACAATGTACCAATAAAAGAATTTAATAAAAAAACAAAGAAATAAAACTCATGTAAACTATGGTGAAAATACCAACAGAACTGTACAACAAAAATAATCTTCTTCAGTTGTCACACCCATGGCAGTCTTCACACATGACAACTGGATGTTCTATGCACTCCTCTTGCTTACACTGAAAGCACTTATGTTTTGTTTTCCTGTCCTTTTTTGTAGGGCACAGTTGACATCTTTTTTGGTTTTCCTGTTGTTGTAGTAGGTCTTTGGGATGCTGTGCATGCCCGTTCACCTGTCAGCTCTCCAGTGTGCTCCACAGTATTTTTTTCATAGTTCCCTGGGTGGAAACATTTTGATTTTCCTTTGCTGTAAATGATTTCTCATGAGTTCCAGTCCCA